TTCCTTGTTTTCCCTGGCTGGAGCCCAGGCCTGGGCAAGTGGGCAGAAGGGATCAGATGAGTTAAAAGTGTGAAAAGTGCTTTAAAAACTGTGAACTGGTAGACACGCTGCACATTTGTCAGGATAGTTCAGAGAGTGTGGAGCTGGAATAGCTGACCAGCAAGAGGACTTGGCTTACACTGTGTGTGTGGTTGTGTGTGTGTTTATAATTTTTTAAAAATTTTATTTTATTGACTTTTCACAAAGAGGAAGAGAGTTAGAAACATCGATGAGAGAGAATCAAAGATCAGCTGCCTCCTGCACATCCCCCCTGGGGATGCGCCTGCAACCAAGGCACATGCCCTTGGCCAGAATCAAACCCGGGATCCCTCAATCCGCAGGCCGGTGTTCGAACCTCCATCCACTGTGCCAAACCGGCTTCGGCTGTTTATAATTTTTTTTTAATATATATTTTATTGATTTTTTACAGAGAGGAAGAGGGATAGAGAGTTAGAAACATTGATGAGAGAATCATCGACCAGCTGCCACTTGCACACCCCCCTCCGGGGATGTGCCCGCAACCAAGGTACATGCCCTTGACTGGAATCGAACTTGGGACCCTTCAGTCCACAGGCCAATGCTCTCTATCACTGAGCCAAACCGGTTTTGGCTGTTTATAAATTTTTATTGATTTAAAAAAAAATCAGAATATTCATTTTTTTCCAATTTATATTTTCTTTTTTTCCCTCCATTTTTTTATTAAGGTTTTATGTGTACATATCTTACCATTGCCTCCCCTTCCCCTCCCATACATGCCCTCACCTCCCCAGTGTTTTGCGTCCATTGATTATGCTTATATGCATGCATATAAGTCCTTCGGTTGATATTATTGATTTTTTTTTAAAGGGAGGGAGAGAGAGTGAGAGAGTGTAACATGGATCAGTTGCCTCTCCCATGTGCCTGGATTGGGGCCCAAACTCATTCCCTGAATATGTATGTACCCTGCCCAGGAATTGGAACCTGCCACGTTTTGGTGCACGGATGATGCTCCAACCAACTGAGCCATAGCAGCCAGGACTTGCACCGTGTTTTAAGCCTCAGGGAGTTCTCATTTACGTGCAGGGAGAGTCTTTCCATCCTGACAAAGGGCGGAGTCACCTCCAACAGGCTTAAGGCTGGGCAGTTTCTCAAATGTTGGGGAATTTGGGATTCTACTTCTGTTAATAGTGGTACCTTTCTGTGCCAAGGCACATTGCTTTGGATTGGGACTAATTTTAGGGGTGATGGAATGAGGAAGTAATGTTCTGAACTTAGTGTGCACTGGATCTTTACCTTCTCCTGTGAGTTCTGAACCCCAGAGAACAGGCTCCCCTCCTGTTCCTTCAAGCCTCTTGTGAGCACCCAGGATCAGTGTGTCCTGTCTCCTTGACTCCAGCAGGGGGCAGCCTTTTAATAGTAATAACTCAGATGCCAGGGGAGTGAGGGTATACTGAGGCCTGAGAAAGAGGAGCTGGTAGAGGAGGCAGGCAGATGGTGAGGGATGGGAGCTAAGTTGGAAGGAGATCCTTAGTAGCCAGGAAAGGCCTTGTCCCCACTACTCTGCCTGCTGACTCCCACCCTTCCGTGGAAAGGAATCCAAATGTTTGGCTTTGAGATTTTGTAATAGAGAAACTTAGGGCAATTTTTTTCAAATTTTTTTATTGATTAAGGTGTTACATATGTGTCCTTATTCCCCTATTATCTCTCCGATCTCCCCTCCCCCCCGATATATATTTTAAACATATTCTTCCCAAGGATTTCTCTTATGGGATAGTATAATTAGGGAATTATTTTCTTGCTCTTCATCAATAAATTGGTTTCTCTGGTCTTTCATTCTTCTCTATAAACAAAGAATAGGCATTACTTCTGCTTGTGGCATAGAGGAGGGTTTCTCAACCATGGCAATAATGACGTTTTGGGCCAGCTAATTCTCTGTTGTGGAAGGAAAGTTGTCCTGTGCATTATAGGATGTTTAGCAGCATCCCTGATCTCTACCCATTAGATGCCAGTTGCACCTTCCAGCGATGCCAGTCGAATATGTCTCCAGATTTTGCCACATGTCTCCCGCCTCTTTTCCCAAGCTGGCTTCAAGGAAGCATGTGGAAAGATACATGCGTATTTAGAAAGGTGGAAATTAAGGGCCAGTCAGCTATCAGCTCTGGGACCAGATTCTCCTCCTGGAGTATTGGCCTTTTTCTCCAACTGCTCCTGTGCTCCCCATCCTGACCCCCGACTGCTTCTCATTTTGCCTCTGCAGATATCCTGCTTCTCACACTGGGAGTCGTTTTTCTTCATTTTGCTCATTGCAACCAGGACAGAGGCAAAGGCAGCTGTGGAAAGCACCAAGGCGTGCCGCCTTTGCCCCACTCCCTGGCGGGGTGGAAGGGTGAGTTGTCCCTTCTCTATCCCCTCTCCCCATAGCAGCCTGCTGTGCCACAGGACTCTTTTCTCCTCTAGAGCAGTGATTCCCAAACTTTTGACATGTGTACCCCTTCTATAATTTTCGTAACGCTGAGTACCCCTCGTACTCATGAGAACGTAGAATTAGGCGCAGCTAAGCACGGTGCAGTGCATATCCCCACCAAACTCTTCCCGTGCCCCTGGGGGTACACACCACACTTTGGGGAACACTGACATAGAAGATGGGCTATTCTAGAGTGAACTGGAGGAGGCTCAGAACAGCCTCTCTTAAGATTTGAAGGAATTTGAGGTGTTTTTCTTTAAATGGGGAAGACTTAAGTTTGTGATAGCTATCCCCAAATGTCTTTATTGTTTTCCTTAAACCTTTTTTTCTAATGATGGTAAAATACAGCATATGCCATTTTAATTATTTTTTTAAAAAATATATACTTTTATTGATTTTACACAGAGAGAAATTGAGAGGGATAGAGAGTTAGAAACATCGATGAGAGAGAAACATCGACCAGCTGCCTCTTGCACACTCCCCATTGGGGATGTACCCGCAACCAAGGTACATGCCCTTGACCGGAATCGAACCTGGGACCTTTCAGTCCGCAGGCTATCCACTGAGCCAAACCGGTTTTGGCAATCATTTTTAAATGTAAAGTTCAGCACATTGTTCTGCTATCACCACCCTCCATCTCCAGAACTTTTTCATTTGCCCATTTCAGCTAAAACTCTGTACACATTAAACAACTCCCCTTGCCCCAGATCCCCACCCCCGCCATTCTCCTCTCTTTGAATTTGAGTCCTGTAGGATCTCATATAAGAGGAATCATACAATGTCTGCTCTTTTGTGACTGGCTTGTTTCACTTAGCACAGTCTTTAAGATTCATCCATTGTCCAAATTACATAACGGTTGTAGCATTGAAAGTAGTAACCTTACTCTGCTGTCTGGGAGGCTTCCTTGCATCCCATGAAAGGAAGAGCTTTTCAACAGACTTGTCTTCCGAGGGCTGTGTGTGCCGCATCAGGTTCCATCACCAGGAATATCCAGCAGAGCAGTTGTAGGAGTGATGCTCAGGTTGGGAGAGGTCAGCCCCATTCTCGAGGGTCTTAAAAGCTCCATTTCATCCTGAGAAGCTGGATTCTGGGAGTGGGTACTGTGTCTGTTCTAGAGTTTTATGTTCTGGTGTACAGCTGTAGGTCAGAGAGCCTCTGTCCTTGGCCCCTCTGGTAAAAACTCTTCTTCCTCCCCAGAGTTGTGGAGTCTTGGAGTTAATGGGCATTGTGGGGGCACTCCAGTCCAGCCTTCTTCCCAACCAGTGAGAGAGTCCTTGCTCAGCCACGTGGGACCCTGCTTGCCCGGAACCTCCAGGGATGAACTGCCTTCTGAGAGCATCTTTTATTGGTCCTTAGAGGCACAGGTCACTGCCAAAGCCGCCACTTCTGTCAGCCTCAGTAACTCTGAGCTTATTTGGACTTTATGGTGAGGGGCCTTCTTCCCAATGTGTATCATCATAGCTTGGTTCCTTTCTTGGCTCATTTTACTTACGTTTGGATTCTTCCTAATTGGGAAGAAGAAAGGGTTTGGGTGCTGGTTTCTATTTGGTAAGCCAGCCCCTGGGTGCACTGGCGGGCTTGCCTTCATGAAGCCTTTGACATGTGTCCCACCTTTGTCTTGAAACTGGGTCTCTGGATCCTAGCTGCCAAGCAGCAGCTTTGAAATTTTTCATAAGGAAAGTAATTTTTCTCCCAGGTTAATTTCTAATCCTTCTCTCTATTGTGGACCTTTTCCCTCTCTGGAATAGTTGTGGTTTCAGTGGGATTTTTCTTTTTTGTTTGGTTGTTTTTATTTTTGTCCTGAATGTCCATGCAAAGCTTAACCACCCCCTTTCTGAATGCTATGCCGTGCAGCCAGAGTGCTGAGACCCAGAGAGGTGCCTGGAGTGTCTCTGCCCACCTCCAGCTCCTCAGTCAGGCTTTGCTGGGTGAATTAACTGTTTGTGGGACCAAAGATGGGGGACAGAGATGAGAAGGAGCAGAGGCTATAGCCACCATTACGTAGGCCACAGGCAGGGAGACCCGCCTGACCTTAACTTAACCCACCTTCTTCCCCTCGTCTCATTAAGGATTTTTCCCAGATGTGAAGGTCCCTTCCTGGGCACCACTGGTCAAACCAACATCTAGTAGCTTGGGGCCCCTGGTTCACTCAGCATAGGCTCTTGCCTGAAGAGGCTGCTCCGTACTCTACCTGCTGCCCAGAGTAAGGCTGTCAGGTGGGTCTGGGGCGAGGGAGGGCCTCCTCGCAGAAACAGAAGGGTCCTAGCTGCCCTGTTTCCTGTCTTACCTCTAGGTCTTCCCCTGCCGTGACTGGTTAGCTCATGGTGTGAGGGCACGTGGCTGGTTTAGGTGAGTCCTTGTAGAGCCCATTACATTCCCACCAAGCATCCTCTCAGGGTTACCTGGGTGTGCTGCCTCTAAGCCCGGTGCCCTCTGCCTCCACAGGTGTTTGGAGAGTGAACTCCAGGTCCCCCCACCCCTGCTCATCTCTGATCTCTAGGACACATCCAGCTCCACGATGGCAGCAGAGACCCTCAACTTTGGGCCTGAGTGGTGAGTCAGATGTGCTTTGGTGGCATGGGAGAGCCAGAAAGAATAGAGCTGCTCAAATTCTGGTCTTCTCCCCTAGGCTGAGGGCTCTTTCTAGCGGTGGCAGCGTGGCCTCCCCACCCCCGTCTCCTGCCATGCCCAAGTACAAGCTGGCTGACTATCGATATGGGCGAGAGGAGATGCTGGCTCTCTACGTCAAGGAGAACAAGGTGGGAGGGTGGGTGTAGGGAAGGGTATGTGATCCATTTGCCTGTCCTTAGTCAGTGGAGAGCTCCCAGGAGCATGTGGTATCTCGGCCCTCCTGCCTTGATTGACAGGTCCCAGATGAGCTGCAGGACAAGGAGTTTGCTGCGGTGCTACAGGAGGAGCCGCTGCAGCCCCTGGCACTGGAGCCTCTGACCGAAGAGGAGCAGGTGGGGCTAGGGCACTGGAGCCCCATCTTGGAGGGGCTGGGTTGGGAAGACAGGTGGTGGAGGGTACAATTCTGGACGGGGTGGGGGCAGTCAGGTACCTGGGTCCTCACTCCCACCCCTGGCTCCCTCCTCAGAGAAACTTCTCCCTGTCAGTGAACAGTGTGGCTGTGCTGAGGCTGATGGGGAAAGGGGCTGGCCCCGCCCCAAGCGGCGCCTCCCGTGGCAGGGGCAGCACTCGGAGCCGAGGTAGGGGGCTGATTACGTGCTGGGATAGCGGGGGTGGGGGGGGAGGCTGTGGTTTGAAGATGTGCAGAGATGTTCTGGCAGGTTTCCTATGTGCATCTCATTCCTGTTCCAGGTCGTGGCCGTGGTGACAGTTGCTTTTACCAAAGAAGCATTGAAGAAGGCGACGGGGCCTTCAGTCGAAACCCCCGGGAGATCCAGCGTAGCCAGAGTTGGGATGACAGGTGCAGGCTGGGAAGGAGATGGCATAGAGGCAGAGCAGAGCAAAGCCCTAGGATTATGGTCTTGGATACCATGAAGAAAGGCTTAGGTCTTTGTCATTGGAGGGCAGCAGGAGAATAATCAAATATGCCCTGGTCAGCAACTGCTCTCTCTGCCCTCTGACCCCTGCCCTTTCCTTCTGATTTTCTTAGTCCCCATTTGTTCTGTACCTTCTGTTCTGTGTGCTCCCTTGGGCTCCCTCCCAGGTCTGACTTTTTCCTAGTCCCCTATCCCCTCCCTCCCTCCTCAGAGCAGAATGGACAGGTGTGCAGAGATCTCAAAAGTCAGGGCTGGGAAGCTGTCCTCCTTTGACCAACACGTTTCCCTCCTGCAGAGGCGAGAGGCGCTTTGAGAAGTCGGCCAGGAGGGATGGAGGTATGAATAGTGGTGAGGGAGGTTTCAGGCCCTGAAGGTCACTGAGAGGTGGGGGGAGATGGAAATGGGTGGCCCCAGTGAGGGGGGCCTTTCCTGGGGAAGGTGCGGGGTGGGGCAAGAGAACCTGGAGCTGGGCTCCTCTTGGCCAGTGAGGATTATAGGAAGTCTTCCAGGGACTGTGGCTGCCACTCTGCTGACTGTGTCTTCCCCTGCCCCCAAGCACGATCCGGGTTTGAGGAGGGAGGGGCTGGTCCGAGGAAGGAACATGCCCGCTCAGATAGCGAGAACTGGCGTTCTCTCCGCGAGGAGCAAGAGGAAGAGGAGGAGGGCAGCTGGAGACTTGGGGCTGGACCCCGGCGAGATGGTGACCGCTGGCGTTCATCTAGCCCTGGTGAGACGGGGCTGGGAGCAGCAAGAACATCCCTTGCAGGGGGTTTTCATGGCCAGGTGGGGGGAAAAAACGTGTTCTCTAGTGAGGTGGGTGGGGAGAAGGCTCTGGCTTGACTGGGACACTGATTCTCCTTCTGACTTTTCCTACACAGATGGTGGCCCCCGCTCGGCTGGCTGGCGGGAACATGGGGACCGCCGTCGCAAGTTTGATTTTGATTTGCGAGGGGATCGAGGAGGGTGTGGTGAAGAGGAGGGCCGGGGTGGGGGGAGCAGCTCTCATCTCCGGAGGTGCCGAGGGCCTGATGGCTTTGATGATGACAAGGATGGGCTCCCAGAGTGGTGCCTGGATGATGAGGATGAAGAAATGGGCACCTTCGATGCCTCTGGAGCCTTCTTGCCTCTCAAGGTATCCATGAGGCGGCCAGGGGAAGATTTTTATTAGAGATTGGTGGGAACATGCCCTGATGGGGTCCTCCTTCTCCCACCTGTTTATCCTCTGCCCCCTGACCCCCCATTGTATTCTCTAATCCCATGCAGAAGGGCCCCAAGGAGTCCATTCCTGAGGAGCAGGAGCTTGACTTCCAGGGTCTGGAGGAAGAGGAGGAAGAGCCTTCCGAAGGGCCGGATGAGGAGGCCCCTGAGGCAGGTAAGCCTGCAGGATGGAACAAGGAGAAGGCCTGAGAGCCTGTACTGGCCTAGGTTGGCAGAGGGCTCCTTCACCAGGCTGGGTACTGACTGTCCACTCACCTTTCGGAGAAGGCTGCTTAGAAACTCCAAGAAAGCAGGCACTGACAGGTGTGGGAAGGAACCCAGAAACAGCAGGGCTGTATTTTAAAGGCAGCATGTCAAATGAAAATCAGGCGTGATCAAAATGACCTTTGCAAATCCCTTGAAGAATCTGTAGAACATAGTAGTAAATTTATGGTATTGTGCATACAGCTCTGGACAGTGCCATGGACACATGCCAGTGCCCAGTATTATAGGGGCAAAAGAGGAAGTGTGCAAAGTGGAGTTTGCAGTATTGAGTTACTGATGTTAGTTGAGATGACCAGAGTTACATTGGTGGACTCTTTACTTAGAAGCCCAAGATCTGGCCATAAATGGAGGGCTTGTGCTATTTTTAAAGACTTCTGGCTCTTTGGTTTTGAAGTCTGGTAATTACCCTTTTTCAGGTGGGAAGGAACTGACCCCATTGCCACCTTCAGAGGAGAAGTCCAGCTCTCCATCTCCATTGGCTACCTTGGGCCCACTCTGGGGAGCTAATGGGGAAGGAGGTGATGCTCTGGAGAAAGACCTGCCAGTTACTGAAGGTAGCCAGCGGTTGGGGCTGCTCTTTCTCTGGAACCAAGGGCTGGTGGTGAAAACGTGCCTCTTCCTTATGGGAAGGTGGTGCACAGGCTGTTTGTGTGAGAGCTAGAGCAGAGCCTGCTTTTCTAGAAGAGGGTGGATAGGGGACTGTCTTACACTTTCTCTGGATCCTCATTCCACCTTCCTTTGCTCCCAGGAGATGATTTGAGGGGCATGCAGCTGAGTCCCGGAGTGGGCTCACCCCCCGGCCCGCCTGGAGATCTGGAAGATGATGAAGGCTTGAAGCACCTGCAGCAGGTCGGGAGGGGGCAAGGGGCCTAAGAAGGCTCTAAGGATCCTCCCCTACAGGGGGACAGAAAGCTATCGTCTGTCTGCTCTTCCCCATCTGTCCCACTGTCTAGCTCACCCTCGCTTGCCCTTAGCCCCAGCCCTATCCTGCCATTGTGTGATTGGGCAATTGAGCCTTCCCTCTCTCTCTGTGCTCCCAGGAGGCGGAGAAGCTTGTGGCATCCCTACAAGACAGCTCCCTGGAGGAGGAGCAGTTCACGGCTGCCATGCACACCCAGGGCCTACGACACTCTGCAGCTGCCACTGCCCTCCCTCTCAGCCATGGTGCGGCCCGAAAATGGTTCTACAAGGACCCACAGGGAGAGATCCAAGGTGCCCTGGGGAGCGGGGGGCATGCAGGAGGGGCTGCGAGGGATAGTGGCACACCATCATTGTCTTTCAGGGTTCCTTTGGCATACCTTTCTGACAAAGCCCCCTTACTGCCTGTCCAGGCCCCTTTACAACACAGGAGATGGCAGAGTGGTTCCAGGCGGGCTATTTCTCCATGGCCCTGCTTGTGAAGCGTGGTTGTGATGAGGGCTTCCAGCCACTTGGTGAGGTGATCAAGATGTGGGGTCGTGTCCCCTTTGCTCCCGGGCCCTCACCACCCCCACTGCTGGTGAGCATATCCACCTTTGGGTGAGGCAGGGAGGGGAGTCAGGATGTCAACCGGTTGTGTGGAGCATAACAAGGAATGCTCTCATCCTCACTCAGGGAAACATGGACCAGGAGCGGCTGAAGAAGCAGCAGGAGCTGGCGGCAGCGGCACTGTACCAGCAGCTGCAGCACCAGCAGTTTCTTCAGCTGGTCAACAGGTACAGGCCCAGGAGGACCGGTCAGTAGGGATGGACACTGTTATGTGGGCGGCCCCCTCATGCCTGTCTTCCTTTCTGCAGCCGCCCCCTCCAGCAGTGTGGGCTCCGGGAAAAGGTGGCGCTGGGGGACTTGACGCCACCGCAGCAGCAGCAGCTTACCGCCTTCCTGCAGCAGCTCCAAGCTCTCAAACCCCTCAGGTCTGTGGGCTGCTCTACCTGTCACATCTCAGTCTTTGCTTGGCTGCATGTGTGAGCCCTCGGGATATGTAAAGTGGGGAGATGGGTGTAGATTACTGAGAATCAGTGCTTTGCTCCTCAGAAGTGGGGACCAGAACCTGCTCCCGACGATGAACCGGTCTTTGTCGGTGCCAGATTCAGGCTCCCTCTGGGATATACATACCTCAGCCTCATCACAATCAGGTGTGTGTCCAGCCAGTAGGCTCGGGGGGAGCAGGGAGCTCAGGGGCTTCCCCTACCCCTCTGGTTGCTTCAGTCCAGGGGGCCCGAGTGCCCTCCTGCAGCTGCCTTTGCCTCTTGCAGGCGGTGAGGCCAGTCTATGGGACATACCAATTAACTCTTCGACTCAGGGTCCAATTCTAGAACAACTCCAGCTGCAACATAAAGTGAGTAGGCATCCTGGGGCTGGAATCCTTGATGTCAAGGACTGAACTGAGGCAGAGAAGTCAGCCCCCACATCTGACGGCTGATTTCGTTGACTGTCAGTTCCAAGAGCGCAGAGAAGTGGAGCTCAGGGTGAAGCGGGAAGAGGAGGAGCGCAAGCGCCGGGAAGAGAAGCGACGCCAGCAGCAACAGGAGGAGCAGAAGCGGCGACAGGAGGAAGAGGAGTTGTTTCGGCGCAAGCAGGTGGGTTCCCAGCTGAGCCCTCCCTTCTTGGGCCTGAGCCAGGGGCCAGATTGCCGGCCCTCACTGCCTCACTGCTTCAGGTGCGGCAACAGGAGCTACTCCTGAAGCTGCTACAGCAGCAGCAGGCGGTGGCCACCGTCCCAGTGCCCCCTGCACCCAGCTCCCCACCCCCTCTGTGGGCTGGGCTGGCCAAGCAAGGACTCTCCATGAAGGCGCTGCTTGAACTGCAGTTGGAGAGCGAGCGACAGCTGCATAAGCAGCCTCTGCCTCGGGAGTCATCGCGGGCCCAGGCCCCCAACCACCGAGTGGTGAGCGAGCTGGGCCCTTCCCCGGTTGACTTGCAAGTTTTGGGCCTGCAGGAACCCCTTCCAGTCAGTTTTCAGGGTGGCTTGGGTGTGGGGAGGGGAGCGCTGGTCCATGTATGACTGAAGGATCGCTCTTCTATGTGATCGTTACTTTGCCCCCCTATGTGATCCTTACAAGCCTCCCACTTAGCTTTCCTTTCCTGTTTGGGCCACCCTGACTTTCTGCCATCTATATCAGCTTGGGGGCCTGGGCGCTACTCCCGTGAACCAGTGGGTATCTGAGTCCGGGTCGCTGTGGGGCGGTCCCGACAAGAGTGGGGGCAGCAGCGTCGGCCTGGGGCTTTGGGAGGACACCGTCAAGAGCAGCGGGAGCCTGGCCCGCAGCCTGGGCCTGAAGAACAGCCGGAGCAGCCCCTCTCTCAGGTGGGTGCCAGGGCGCAGGGTCTGGGCCAGGGCTGGGAAGATGGAGAGCATCTGAACTGATCTCTTGTCTCTAATCTATCTTTGTCTAACCTAGTGACTCGTATAGCCACCTGTCTGGTCGGCCTGTGCGCAAAAAGACCGAGGAGGAAGAGAAGCTGCTGAAGCTGTTACAGGGCATTCCCAGGCCCCAGGATGGCTTCACCCAGTGGTGTGAGCAGATGCTGCACACACTGAGCACCACGGGCAGCCTGGATGGTACAGGGGCAGACTCTGGGGGGCTGGGCTGGGCCAGACCTGCATCAGGTGGGCCCTGACAGCCACCGTCCTGCCTGTAGTGCCCATGGCTGTAGCGATCCTCAAAGAGGTGGAATCCCCCTATGATGTCCACGATTATATTCGTTCTTGCCTGGGGGACACGCTGGAAGCCAAAGAATTTGCCAAACAATTCCTGGAACGGAGGGCTAAACAGAAAGCCAGCCAACAACGGCAACAGCAGCAGGTGAGGTTTGGCATCCCCTGCAGGTGGAGATGAGGTTGCCCAGCACCCTCCTGACTCCCTCTCCCTTTCTGCTGCCCAGCAGGAGGCGTGGTTGAGCAGCGGCTCTCTGCAGGCCGCCTTTCAGACCAACCACAGCACCAAACTTGGCCCTGGGGAGGGCAGCAAGGCCAAGCGGAGGGCACTAATGCTACACTCGGACCCTAGCATCTTGGGTATGTTTTGGGGGTGTGGTCAGTAAGGAGGCTCCTTCTTCAGCTTGGAGGAGGCACCTGTGGGTGAAAGAGCTCAAACCCAGCTTCTTCCGGCTTCAGGGTACTCCCTGCATGGACCTTCTGGTGAGATCGAGAGCGTGGATGACTACTGACCAGCCCGTCCCACCAGCCCCCCTGGGCTATAGGCCAGGGGCAACAGCAGCAGCTTGGACTCTTGGGTCCCCAGCTTGCAGGCTCCCAATAGGGAGCATAGGAGGAAGCAGGGGCAGGGTCCCCAGCACTTGTTACAAACCACACGATGCACCTTAACTCACCCACCACGAGGCACTTTAATAGATTCGGGGGGAAGGTTTTTTTTTTCCTTTAAAAAGAAAATTTAAACATTGAAGACGTTAGGAGAGACAAAATTGTTAAAAACTAGACTCTAAGCACCCTTTCCCCCCTCTGGGGATTGTGGGGGTGACAATGGAAGGTCCACAGTTTTTTGTTTTGTTCGGTTGTGTTGTTTTTTTAAGAAAAAAAAAAAAAAAAAAACGAGAAAAAGAAAGTTAGGAGGCTGCAAGAAAAAACACACTGTTATTTTTGGGCAGTGGGGATATGGCCCCATCAGTCTGTCCTGCCTGGCCCCCAAGGCTGCACTTACCCTCCCTGCCCTGCCAGATGGGCCATTGAGGTAACTGGAAGCTGGGGTGCCAGCAGTTTGCACAGCGAGGTCCCCTCAGCCCCACCGGCCGGACTGCTGTGAAAGGCCCCCTTATTGCTATGACCGTGGCAGAGGTGTCCGGGGTCGGGGCTAAAGGAGTCCCTTGGCTTTGCTGCTTTGGGGGAAAGTTGCACAAATGGGCCAGGCCACCTCCCGTCCCCGGGTGGCTGAGGGGGTCGATGGCAGAGGGCCAGCCAGTGCCAACCTCATCTGGCTGTCAGGACAGCAGAACTTCCACTCTGGCCCTGGTGAGGGTCCCCCCCCACCGCTGCCATTAGGGGGACTGGGTGTGAAGCTGAGCCCAGCTCCCTGCCTTGCCTCATGAATGTATTCCTTGGGCCATAAGCCCTGCTGCATCCCTTCGAGTGAGGTGGGACAGACCAGTTCCTCCTGGGGCTGGAGAGAGGTACCACTTAATGACTTTCTCCTGTGAAGGGGGTGAGGAGAGGGGCCCAGGAGGCCAAGGGAGTGGGCAGCTTGGGGTTCAGGTTGCAGTGGGAGCTGTGAAAAGGGAGCTTTCCATCTGCAGCCCGCTGGCTATGGGGCGTGGACCACCCAGCTCTGCCCTGGCCCCTCCATTGACCAAACTGGAGAGTGAGTGGCCTCTCCCCTCCCTACTCCCCTGCTACATTTTTAATGTTGGGTAAGGTTGGGGGTGGGGGGTCAAGAATAGACGTGTTGTTTTGCCTAAGTCAGGAGAAGGTGGTCCTTCTGCTCATGGACCTATTCCGTCACCTGCCTGGGTTTGTCTTCATTTGTGTGTGTGTTTTAAGTTTGTTGTATCTTTTGGGTTTCTCACCTAATTCTCCTGTTGACCTCACTGCTCAGAGTGCAGTATTAGGGCAGGATTCTGCCACTGCCTCCCCTCCATGAATGTATTTCTCCTTCCTGCCCTGGGGAAATGGGGAGTGGCCCCAGTTCTTTCCCCACATCCATCCCCAGAGAGACCCCGTGTTCTTGTTTGTTTTGGGGTGGTTGTTTTGTTTGTTCCTTTGTTTTTGCACCAAAGTGGCAACTGGGTCAGTGTTGGGGGGAATAAAGCTGGCCTTGAGGGGTGGAGGGGCTCCCTCCACCTGCTTCTCCCTGGTTTCAACAGTGTTAGCGTCCGTGAAAAGACAATATTCTCTCTAAAGCAATAAGGGGGTGATGGGCCAGGGTGAAGTGTCTTGCTGCTGCTGGCCCCCCAGCTCCCCTTTTCCTTGCGCCAGTATTTGGCGGCATTAGAGGCGTGGGGGGAGTACTGTTGTGACTGAATGTAACTGCCCCCGCCCCTGCCGCAGCCAATGCAGGGGGAGGGGGGACAACACTCTTCCCCTCTCTTCCTTCCCTCCCCCCCAGCTAAAGAGACTTTGAGCCTGGAGAGGCCTTAACCCTGTGAGGAAGTGTCGGGGGAACCCTCTCCCACCCTGTCCCCTTCTGAGAGTGGTCAATGTTTACAAGCCCCTGAGCCCTCCCAAGCCCAGGGGCTCATCCCCCCATTGCTATTTCCCAGCCCCTCTTTCCGGGCCCTGGCTGCTCTCCTGCCCTTCCTGCGGTTAGGGTGCGGTGCCAGGCCTTCTGTATCCCCTTGTCTGCCTAGTACCCGAAGTCTCCCCACCCTGTCACTCCTCCCTCTCTTTCCCGCCCCTGTAAATACTACCCCCAATAAAACTTGGTGTGTGTTCCCTTCAGCTTCGGCATCTTTTCTTGGGGAAAGAGGGTGTAGGGGAAGGAGAGTCAGAACTGGGAATTCAAAAGAACTGCAGGCATTGTGTGGTTGGTCAGTCAGAACGGAGGAGGGCTGTGTGTGTGTTTAGGAGGAACGCGTACAACCCTGCTGGGCAAAACTCCCTGCTGTGACTCTGGCTTTGGTCTGAGGGAAGAGTGAGATTTCCTCTCTGGCCCCTTAGGCCCCCTACCCCCAAGCTGATGCCCTCCCAAAGTAAGGAAGACACAAGCAAGAGGATAGACCAGGTACATAGTTGGAATTGGTTCCTTTATGGAAAAACTGAAAATATAATAAAAATTAAAATAAAACCAGTTTTAAAAAAGCCAGCCCCTGGAGTTTCTACCGCCTGCCTCTGACCCTCCAGGGGGATGAGGCCCTGACCCCAGGGCAGCTAAAGAAGAGGGGCTTTCTGCCCCTCCCCCCCCCCATTCTATTCCCATCTTCATTTCCACAGTGGGGGCCCCGGGAGGAACCAAACCTGGGTAGGGGAGCAGGGACCCAAGGCCCTATGGCCAGGGGAGGGAGGCTCATGTGCCCCAGCCCCAAAGCTCCCGGCCTGTAGTGTGGGCGTGGGCAAGGCCCCTCCTGGCCGGGCCCAGTGGGGGTTGGGGCTTTTAGTTCCAGATCTTGAGGAAGGAGTCCCAGGAGCCTGTGGCCACAGCCATGCCATCGTCGGTGACCCCGAGGCAGCTCACACGGTTGTCATGGCCGGCGAGGACACCTGTGAGGGAGGGGTTCATCAGAACTCATCTGGCCTGGTTCCCTGTCCTCGCCTATCTCAGCCCAGCACCCAGCTCTCACCTGCACGGTCGCCCTTCATGGCATCCCAGATGTTGCAATTGAAGTCGTCATAGCCAGCAAGCAGCAGCCGGCCACTGCGAGAGAAGGCAACAGAGGTGATGCCGCAAATGATGTTGTCGTGGGAATACATGAGGAGCTCCTGGTCCGCCCGCAGGTCGAAGAGGCGGCAGGTGGCATCATCAGAGCCAGTGGTGAAGGCATAGCCGTTGGGGAAGAACTACAGGACAAAACCAGAGTGGAATAAGGGCACAGAGCAGGGCCAGAAGCCTGGCAGAGAGGGGCCAGCCAACCTGCCCAGAACTTACAGCCACGGCATTGATGTCGGATTCGTGGCCAATGAAGGTCTGTCGGCACATTGAGTCCCGAACATCCCACAGTTTGATAGAGGCGTCACAGGCACCTGACACAAAGGTGCGGCCATCGGGGGCCAGTGACAAGGACATCACATCCCCACTGTGCCCAGCGAAAGCCACAGTCTGCTGGCCTGTCTCAATGTCCCACAGAGCACTAGAAAGGTGACGGGAAGAAGGGAGGGATCAGAGAGGAGGGCAGAGAGGACTCTTGCCTCCCTAATCCTCCTCCACATGAGCCCAGCCCTGACGGTCTTCAAGGAAGGGGCATCAGGAGCTACTGAATCACAGAACCCTACTCGTCTCCTCCACCTTACCACCACAGGAGGCGGCTAGATGTTTGGAATAAGAGCTCTGCCCTCTCTTGCTCAGGGTGTGTACTACATGCTAAGCACTGAGGCAGGAAGTGTGGACAGGGCCTCACCAGGTGGTGTCCCCAGAGCTGGTGATGATTTGGTTGTCATCCAGGAAGCGGCAGCAGGACAGGTACCCTGGGGGAAAAGGCTGGTCAGCCAGGTCTTTAAGGGAAGGTAGCACAGCCCCTCCCCCCCAACAGCACCTATGTCCTACCAGGCCCTCCTTACCAGTATGGCCAGGCAGCTCCCGGCTGACCCTGACATTGCCCTCACGGGTCTTGAGGCTGTAGATGGAGCAGATGTTGTCCAACCCCCCACAGGCTACAAAGTTCCCTGAGGGCGCGTAGGCACAGGTCATAACCCAGGAGGAACGTAGCGGGATGGCATGGACCTAGGGAGGAGGGGCAGTGCTCAGGTTCAGAACCCAGGCAGGGCCTGCAGTCCAGCCCCATCCAGCCTCAGGCATCACCACTACCTTGTTGGTGGTATAGCTGTCCCAAATGATGAGCTTCCCATCCTGGGAGGCGCTGACCAGCAGCCTGTTGGGAAGTGGCAAGGGAGAGACAGAGGGGTCAGGGTGTGAAGTCCCCTCTGGAGAGACTCTTACCAGCCTCCCATCTGGTGGGAGACTCTCCTGTCTCCTGAGACAACTCCCAGCAACAGTCCAGAAGTTCCTGTCAGTGTGGGCCTCCTTCCAATCCCCTCAGGGTATCTGGGAGTCACAGTCTTCCCAAACATACTCAGCAACACGGGCATCCTGTTCATCTCCTTAGATCTGCAAGGCTGCCCCTCCCCACTCCCCCAACGGCCTGCTATAAACTTAGCCCGAGGGCAAACACAAAAGCTCAGCACCCAGTCCCAGCCACGCACACACCTTGAGTCTGTCCCCCAGTGCATCGCATAGATTTTTGCCAGGTGCCCACGGAGGGTCCTCCGTGTCCTCATCTGGATTCTCCCCACTGGGTCCAGCCCAGCTGTGATCTGGAGGTGGAGGGAGCCAGGGTGAGAAGGCAGAGCCCACTAAGCAGTATGCCTCAAACCCTTGCTCCTTCCCTTAATCCCAAGTCCAGCACTGGATTCATCTCACCTGGGTCAGTGTTGAATCCCCACATGCTTTTCGGGCATCCTATAATATATGGCAGAACCAGTCAGAGGGGCAGAAGATGAGGGGGAAAGAACACATAAGACGGGAGGAGAGGGTAAGAGTAAGTAAAGGGCTAGGGTACACCCCCACAATAAAGAACACCCCCTCCCCATCCAGCACATGCGCAGGTGCGAACACACAGTCCCCCACCCGCAGCTCAGCGGTCAGGCCTCACCCGGATCTGGTTCCGGAGCTGCTCAGCCTCCTGTCTCAGTTGCTCCAGCTCACTCATGGCGCCGGGCCCGTGGGGCGGGGTTGGGGGCGGCTGGGGGCCGCGGGAAGGGGGCTGGGGGCGGCAGCTCCTCGCCGCTGGCCCGAGGCCTGGGGGATGCAGGGCAGGCGTCAGGCCCGAGGCCACGGGGAAGGAGAGGGGAAAGGCAGAGCGAAGACCGCAGGGAGGAGTTAACGCTGGGCAGAAAGGAAAGAGGGCGGTGGTGGTGGCCTCAGTCTCTCCAGCAGAACCGGGGCCTCTGCCGCTGGAGATGTGGCCTAGGAATAGCTGACTTCCCCAATTTTCCTCCCGCCCCCCGGAAACGAAGCGGGAAGTGCAAGAGGAAGCGCAGGGGAAACCCCTCCCTCGGACAGAAGCCCGGGCGGGTTCCCGCGACAGGAACTGGGGGAGGAAGGGAGGTGAAGAGGGTGGAGAGTCCCTGCAAAACAGACCAGCGTCTGCCCCGCCCACACCGGCACCACCCAACGAGCACCTCATTTTAAAAGGGGCGGCGCCTCTTCAAATTCACCCCACAAGCCGCACACCCCTCCGCACACACCCCCCCAAGCTCAGCCTGAGAAGGGGGGAGGAGGGAGAAGACAAGAGGGGTAAGCTGGGCTGTTCGTGGGGTTGCCTAGGCAACCGTCACCCGGAATGAGAGCATCTCATTGGTGAAGTGTCCCCACCCTAGCCTGGTTGCCAAGACAACTGCATCCCAGGCAGAGACCTGTAGGGTGGGTGACCCCACCCCCGACCCCATCGCCCCCGTCCGACCCAGCCTCCCGCTCCTCCCCAGAACCGGCCAGGGTGGCTGTTTACAGGATTTGGGGAAAGCGGTCTGGGCACTAATAGGTTCGGGATGGCTCACCCCGGATAATCCTCGGGCCGCCTGCACCCCATTAGCTGCCCGCCCGCGGCAGGTGGAGGCGGGAGTGCGGGGAGGCAGCCTGCAGCCGCTGCTCCCTCCAGAGCCCGGGCCGCCCGCCCCGGCGGCTGCGGAGAGCCCGCGGGAGCCGCTCACCGGTAATTAGGCTCCGAAGAGAGGTCTCCCGCCCCGAGGCGCCGAGCTGCTCTCTCTGCGGCGCCGCGAGCGGCGGCCCCAGGGCGGCCCAGCCCTGCGCCCGCGACACCGGGATCCCAGACAGCCGGCTCGTCACTGGGGCCCCAGGGGCCTGGCTGGCTCCGCTCCAGGCCCCAGAGCCCTGTCCTCCCCTGCTCCCCTTTTTGGACACCTGTGTGATCCGGCCAAGCACCCCGCACTCGGGCGCCCCGGGCGTCCCCCACCCAGCTCCCACTTCCCCCAGCCCTGGGCGTTCCCCTTCCCCGCTGACATTTCCCCTCCGTCAGTTCAGCTTTCGACGCCAGCGCCCAGGGATGCCCCTCGGAAAAAGCGGGGAGGGAGCAACGCCCCCCGCCGCCTCCCAAGCGCCTGACAAAGCCCCTTCCTTCCAGCGGCCGCGGCCCGGGCGGGAGGCGACGCCAGAGGCCAGGGCGGCAGGAAGCCGGCCGGGAGGAAGCCGCTGGGGCGGGGGCGATGCTCCCAGCCCGCGGCCCCAGCCACCTCCGGGACCCCCTCAGGGGCCCCGAATTCTGGGCACCCAGCAGCCCGGGTCACAAGGAGAAATGGTGGCGCCCCCGCCCCCGCAAGCCTGGCGAGGCGCAGGGCAGGGGACGAGGGAGGGTCCGGTCTGGCAGCTAAAGGCGCAGGCCGGCACCGCGCCGCGAAGCGCTGTGGGCCTGGCCCGCAGGTCCCCACGACCTCCATTTTGCCCAAAAGAAATCTGGGCGGGGGGCGGGGGCTCCGGGAGCCGGGCTCGGGGTTAGGATTAGGAAAGGGAGAGGGGTGCCCGAGGACTGCCTTCCCGATTAATGGGGCCAGAAAGCAGGCAGAACCCATATCGGGGGTAGGCGAGTGGCGAAGGGAAGGGGGGCCTCGCGGCCTGGCCTGACTCTCTGGGGATTCTGGAGTTTTGCAAGAAGAATGCCACCGGGGGTACGAAATGGGAGGGCACGAGGGGTGCTACTCAGGGGCACACAGGGGGAGGGGAGAGGGAAGGGGGCGGAACGGGGCCTAGAGGAAGCTTCCAATTTGTCCCCAACTTCTCAGCGATCCAGAGGCTGGCGGGGCCCGGATGGGACCTGGGGTCGGGCATAATGGGCCTAAGGGTGCAGGGAGGGCGTGCAATATTGGGAGCGAGGGTCCTCAGTTCCCCTTCCGGGTTTAGGAGCGACAGGGCCAGAGGAAGGGAGGGGAGGTCCGGGGAGTTACGTCCGCTCCCAAGAGGCCAGATCCGGGAGGCAGAAGGAGGAAAGGTCCCCACCCCCCCAGGGGAATTTGGGGCTGGGGGGACGAGGGCTCCTTCGGCCAGCGTCAGGTACCTGTGGCGGTGGGACTCTGCCAAGGGTCGCTGGAGAAGCGCGGGAGGTCCGGTCTTCCTCCGCGGCGGAGGCGGGCGGCGGCGCGGATGGATTTCCTCAATCGCCCCAACTCAGCCGCCCAGCGCCGTTCTCCCCAGAGCGGAGGGATCCCGCCTGCCAGTGACGCGGCCGCCGCCGCCGCGCCCAGGGCCCGGCTGGGCGAGACCAACGGCTTAGTGGGGGGAGGCCGGAGCGGAAGGTGCTACTTAAGGGGCAAAGGTTGACTCCGTCAAAACGAAGCTGTCACTCCGCACTATTTCGACGCAAAACGGACCCAAATGAATGCTTAGCTTTCCGAAAAGGAGTAAGATAGCCCCCCCCCGGAGCTGACAGAGGTGGTATCGGCATAGGGGAGGGTGAAACCACTCTCTGGTCACGTGACCCGCGCTCCCGGATTGGGTGGCTCCAGGCTGGGAAGGGAAGCTCCACGCCCCGCCTCTCTGGTTGGCCACGCCCCCGATTCATGAGATCACGCCCCTCGCCAGGAGTCGGAGCTGGGGAGATCCTGACCCGCCCAGGACTGGAGGCAGAGGGAAGGGGCAGCAGTTCTGAAAATCTCTGCGCTGGAAGGAATGGGTCTGCTGTGGGCCCTGGGGAAGCTGGGAATGCCATGAGAAGGGTCTTGCTGAGGCAGTTCCTCACCAAAGTGGGCTTTTGTAGAAGTTTTTAAGAAATATATATTTTATTGATTTTTTGCAAAGAGGAAGAGAGAGGGATAGAGTTAGAAACACTTATGAGAGAGACTCATCAATCAGCTGCCTCTTGCACACCCCCTACTGGGGATGTGCCTGCAACCAATGTACATGCCCTTGACCAGAATCGAACCCGGGACCTTTCAGTCCGCAGGCCCACGTTCTATTCATTGAGCCAAACCGGTTTCGGCTGTAGAACTTTTTACAGGTCTGAATGACACTGTAATAACTCATATTTATTGAGTTCCATACTAACTTAATTCTCACGAAAATACTGTGAAGCTAAGTACTAGCGTTGTTTCCATTTTAGAGTAGTGGAAGTGATTCCTAGGTCTGCAGGGTAGAGATATGAACAAAGACAGCTTTAGCGACTTTACTATGCAATGGTAACAATACTAGTCTTTCCATGAATCCCCCTGACAGGGATGAGAATGTAAGTATAGGCCTGTTTCCACCTCTGTAAAATGGGAGTGTTTACAACTATCTGCCCTGCAAGTCACCTTGGATTGTTATGAGATCCTCATGGATTTTGAAAAGGCTTAGGAAAGTTCAAGTACATGAATAGCCTTCATTGAGTCCTCATGTAATTTAAAAGTATCAAAACAGACAATTTTTATTTAGTCTCTATTATAGACATTAAAAGTGTTCAATGCACAAATTTTTAAAGAAAATAAGAAGAAAGTCACATTCTTAGTTAAGCACAAATTTCATTTATGTTCACCTAAATCAATTTAGTGATATATTAGCAGTAGATAACAGATGTCAATTTAATGTTAGAACTTGGAAGGGACCTTACAGGTAATTGACTTCAGTTTTCTCTCAAGCTACAGATGGGCAAAGTGACTTCCTTAAAGTCACTTAGAAAACTAGCAGCCTTGGACTAGAACCCAATTTTGTTCATCTCTCTAGGGCAGTGGTCGGCAAACTCATTAGTCAACAGCGCCAAATATCAACAGTACAACGATTGAAATTTCTTTTGAGGGCCAAATTTTTTAAACTTAAACTTCTTCTAACGCCGCTTCTTCAAAATAGGCAGAAGAATACAAATTGCCAGAGGAGAAGCCAGAGAGCTAAGTGGTATTTGGTAGAAGAACCACACTCAAGGAGCCAAAGAGCCACATGTGGCTCAAGAGCCGCAGTTTGCCGACCAGGGTTCTAGGGCATCTGACACTGCTTCCTCTCACTTTAGTTTCTGTGCTAATATGCTCCCCTATTTTAACTCATTTAGCAAATATTTCTTGAATCCAAATGATCTATCAGGCACTGTCCTGGGCACTGAGACTACAACTGGGAACACATGCACCCTTCTCTGTATGCAAGGAGCTTGTAGTTTATAAAGGAGACAGAAGGTAGATAATTATTGAAATAATAATAATCCTGAAAGTCCCACTTACTAAGAGCAGAACATTTAAGAAGGGCCACATTTGAGAAGAAAGATCAAGAGGTGTTTTTTTGTTATAGTTGTTGTTATTGTCTTTATTCCTCACCCAAGGATATGTTTTACTGACTTTAGAGAGGGAGAAATATCAGTGTGAGAGAGGAACATGGATTGGTTGCCTCCTATATGCACCCCAGCTGGGGATCATACCTGTAACCCTGAATATGTGCCCTGACAGGGAATTGAACCCGTGATCTTTCTGGTGTACGGGAAGGCATTCCAACCAATTGACCCATACTGGCCAGGGCAAGAGTTTTAAGTTGGGGTGTATTAGGTTTGAGGTATCTAGGAGAGGCGCAAGGAAGGATGTTCAGTAGGTGGCTGTCCCAACAGGTCTGGGGCTCAGCAGAAGAGTCTGGGTTGAATTAGATCCTTCGGAGTGACATTTTAGAGCATATGACGTCATCAAGAGGTTTGGGGAAAAGACAAGATGGCCCGAGGTCAGGCAGAGGAACACAAATTGCCAAAGGAGA